ATTGAGAGAAAGCATAACTGTGTTTTGTGGGTTTTTTTTTTTTGCATTTGTCTTCTATTAATCATTGTACAAGATCTTAGATTTATGGTGCAACTTCGTGTGGAGGTCCTGATCAACAGGTTGAGAACCATTGACTTAGAATATATATTTAACTGATGATGATTGTGAAATCACAGGACAGAAACGTCTAATTTGAAATTCGTTAATCAGTGTGTAACAGATGTTGACCTGATGCCATGTTACCCTATGTAAGTTTTTTTGCTTCCTCAAAATTGTCTGACAACTATTTTTCCACAGAGTTGGAGCAGAGCAGCATTCATCTATTTCAGGATCAGAATACACTATGTAATCAACAACCACATAGACCACATTTAATACATTGTTTTAAATTTGTGCCTTTTACACACTTTGACTAGAAGTGACCCTCATCAGATTTTTGTGTGTGTTTTGTGACACAGATCTGGTCTTTTCACAGATGTACAAACAAACCAATTATTTTTTTCTTCCCCTAATTAGATCTGGTCCACTTCCATAAGTGATCAAGTCAATTCATATCTGATCTCTGACCATGTGACCGCTGTCGGGGGAGGGTCAGATTTGGATTTTTTTTGTTTTTTTTTTTTTTTTTTTTTTTTTTTTTTTTTTTTTTTTGAATGTCTCTCTCTTCTGCATATGTCATCTGTCGTCATCATTCAGTGGCAGCTCCTTTCAAACCAATAAAAATGAACACGGAGGAGAGCGACAACAGTGATGGGGGTCAATGGAGAGATGAGGACCTTTCACATTTGCTGGACATTTATGGAAAAGCTTCTGATAACCTAAAACTGGAAAGAACATATTGTAACCGAGCAGTTTGTGAGGATATAGTGCACAAATGATGTTGTTATTCTAGTATGTGAATGGCTCACATTTGAGTTGAATCTTCATGTGTGGCCAAACGCATGTCACTTATAAACATGAGTGTGCACCATCAACACAAACAATCAGATTTGACAACACTGAGGCCTGTAATGTTAACATAGTCAGTTTATCTGTACACTGCTTGTGAAGAAGAGCCTTTGCCAGACTTTGTCTCTTTGAATGTCAAAGCCTTTAAGATCAACTGCATGTCCACCAAAACTATCAAAATCAGTTGGTAAAATATTGGTGCAGTAATGGGAATTTACACATCTGTAGGGCCTGTGACTACACTGAGCTCTACTGTACTGTATTGTACGTGTGTTTCTTCCCCTGTGTCATAATCCTGCTGTTGTGTCTTCAGATATCAGTCTGCCTCAGCCACTTTGGATGACATTACCAACTCTGAAGTGTGAGTTGACCCCTTTCTCTTTTGTGTTCTTGTTTTGTTTATGTACATGAGCTAAGGTTTCTTTTAAGTTTGGTTTTCCTCTTGGGAACTTGTTCTCTTATTTTCATTGTCCATGGCCTTTCCTCTGTTTTTTTTTCTTGCTTCTGTAATGGTGAGGATGTTGCACTAGATTGCTATTGGATTTATTAGATTGCATTTTATGGGTAATCACCCTAACATGATTAAAAGACAAGTTAACTTAATTGCATCCCCCTCAAGAAAAGAAAGGCAAGGACAGCTGACATGACTGTGTCAGTGCAGTGTCCTCTTGGGCTTTAAGCAAAGCCACCGATGGCATCCGCACACTGTCCAAATGTACTTGGAGGCTAAACATCCTCTTCAAAGCCGTTATCTCCTCTCATCACATAACAGATTTTTACTTTGTCTTAGAAAATGGTAACACACTAAGTTTCCCCCCAGTGTAGTCTCTTTTTAAATATAATGCTTTTTAATATTAGGATTTCTTTACTATTCTCTGTGGAGTCTGCATGTTCTCCCTGTTCCTGCGTGGGTTCTCTCCTGCTACTCCGGCCTCCCACAATCCAAATACATGCAGCTTAGGTTGGCTGATGACTCTAAATTGCCTGTCAGAGTGAGTGTGGGCGTGTGTGGTTTGTCTACATGTCAGCCCTGTGATAGACTGGCGACCTATCCAGGGTGGACCCCACCTCTCACCCAATGTCAGCTGGGATTGGCTCCAGACCCCCCCACAACCCTTGTTAGGATAAGAGGTGTAGATAAAATTGATGAATGGAATTCTTTGCTACTAGAGACGGTATTCAAACTCTAAACTAAAAATTAAAACTAAAAACAAAATGGAGCCCTGATCCCTCCAACAAATGTTTTGACATTACATGTTCATCAGAATAGCAAAACATTTGCCAAAGGGGACCAAAAACCAGGGCTGCATTTAGCTTTTTATTTATTTATTTTTTTTTTTAAGAGTTAGAATACAGTCTAGTAGTAACGAAATCCTAATATTAAAATACATTATATTTTAAAGAGACTGGAAAAACAAAGTGAAAACAAACACTGGTTCCTGTAAAAGGAAAACAGTTTTGTGTTCATTGTTAATATAGAGTCTGGATCCTTGAGATTAAATAATAAAATTGTATGAACTCCAGTTAGCAGTGTAGGAGGTCAGCCATGTCGATGGATGCTGTCGTGTGCTTTGGTACTCAGCCACAACAGAATTGTACTGGCTGTAAACCATCTGCTGCTAAGACTTAATGTGTGTTTGTGTGGCCCAGTTGATCATTTTGGCTTCTCTGTGTGTGTGTGTGTGTGTGTGTGTGTGTGTGTGTGTATGTGTATGTACAAGTAGCCAGTGTGGATCTGTATGTTTCTGCTTGTAGATTGATTTAGGCAGTTGGGATGTATTTATCAAATTCAATGAATTGACAAATGAAAGGAAATGCCTGAATAAATGGTGCCTCCATCCCTATGGCATGAGGGGTCACTGAATGGTTTGATGAGGATGATAATGATGTGAATCAGATGCTGTGGCTTTCAGTCACCAGATCTCAACCCAGGTGAACACCAGTGGGCATGTCAGAGTAAACGGGAGGTAAAACAGGAATGTACTAAAACCCAAAGAGGGCACACAGCAGCATCACTGATGTACTGTATTTCATTTTGAATGAAAACAAGCCATACACATAAAACTTAGATTTTTGATAAGTCTTGGTCATATTTGGAACCTGCTTAAGGTGAAAGTCAGTGCACTGTCATCAGTTTTAAATTCTGTTTGACTGATCTTCTGGTTTAGTTTCCTAGACAACCCAATATACCAGCAAACTTAACAAATATCCCTCTTCCTTTAAACATATTATTAATGGTTAATACACTCATGCCTGGTAATTTTAACCCAGTGCATCTGAATTTGAGATTGGAATATCTAAATGGTGAGTTTTCTGGGTTTACCTTTAGAAGCGTTTGGCAGCTACCCACTGGAATGTTTGTGATCAGAGCTGAACAAACTGCAGTTCACCACACTCGGCCTGGTACACAAAACCACTGCATTAATAAAAGTTTGCTCCTGATCTATTTACTGGGCTTGTTTACAGTAGTTTGAGCTCAACGGTATGATAAACTGTTATTTTTCTAGGTTAATTGTTGCATATTTTATGCATATGTACTTTTAATGTTCTTGTCAGTGGCAAAAATTGAAGTTAGTTTTGAGCTGTTTATTAGAATTAGTATTGTATAGTATTTAACATTAGAAAGCAGTCAGGACGTTGATAGACAACAATGTTGTTGTGACACAGGCTTGATAAAGATGTCAGCATCCTTGAATGAACTTCTAAGGACACAAATAATACTGCACCCTTTAAGAAATACACACAGTTTAAACTTTTCTCACAGGCTCATTTGTTCACTCTTCATACTTCACTTTTCACAGCGATGACAGAATGTGACACTTAATTGGTTGATTTGTCAACAAACAGGAATTTAATAAGCAAATATTCTGATAATTATTTCTTAAAGTTTTGATTGTTCCAGCTTCTGAAATGTGAATATTGTTTGATTTTCTTTATTATTGTAATTTAAATGTCTGGGTTTTGAGCCATTGGTTTGACAAAACAGTCATTTGGGCTCACCTTTTTCTGACATTTTGTGAACGATTCGGTACTAGAGTTGCAGCCCTGTCTGAGTGTGTGCCAGTATTCTCATTTGTATGATTTGTTGCCTCATTATTTATTGACTGTCCGGTCTGTCTTCGATGACAGGCTTTTGTTTAACATGTAAAACACTATGATAGTTGCATCTTCCTAGTGGGAAGTGGGAATAAAAAATACTGTTTGTATTGTGATACTTAATGGATAACACCCTAAATGCCATCTTGAGCTTTTGAGTTTGCCGTTATACACTCTTCCTCTGAACTGAAACAGTGGGACATGCTGAATCATGCCTAGTCATGGGTTTCACTCAAGGGTCTTTCAGAAGGAAAAGCTGCTGACATGATCTCATCTCAGATACAGCAGATGCTGTAAAAAAGGAGTATCTCTTCAGATTTTTTTGTAAAGTACCATGAGTTGTCAAATTTGTAGTGGGAATCACACATGCTGCTACACTTTAAAAAAAGCAAAGTAAACAGAGAAGCAGGAAGCTGGTGGCTATTTCTTTGCCCAACCTTTTGGCATTTGGTTACTGTGACCTATGTTTTGCTGCTGTCTGACTACTACTGTGTCAATACTAACCACTGGGGTGGTAATTACTACACTTTGTCAATTGTGGAGTGGCCCAGTAACTTTAATCACTGTTGTTTTGTTTGTGCTCCTTGTGGTCAAATGGTGTAGTCGACTTCTCTTTTTTTACCCTCCTGTTCCTCCCCTTGCCCATCCATCGGCCTTGTTTTTCTTCGTTCTGTCCGTGCATCCATTTTTTTTTTGTTTTGTTTTTACTGTCGGACATCTTTTCTTTATTCTATTCATCTTCCCTTCCTCTTTCATTCGTTGTCTATTCTCTCATTCTCATCATATTTTCATTCCACCTCAACCATCTGTCCATCCCTCTTCTTTTCTCCATTGTCCTCTTTTCATTTCCCTGCTCCCACCTGTCTTCCCTCCCTTTATCCCTCTCAC